TACTTTGGAGAGGCAATGCCAGAAGTGTACACTCCAGAGCATCCTGGTGACTCTCAACCCAAGCTATGCCTTTAAAATACAGGCTTTCCTAGCACCACTCCAGGCCTTGAATCAGAATCTCTGGGGCCGGGGCCCAGTCACATGCATTTTTTAAAGCTCCATATGTGATGCTAATACACAGATGGGGTTGGAAGCCACCATGAACTTTCATTTTATGTGGTTAAAATGCTGGCTGTCCACTAGCTCCCCTCTCCATAGTAGGGAGTTGCAGCCGGGCAGTCACAGGCCAGCAGCCCCCCTTTGCATTTAGGCAGGGCCTTGTGACTGAGTTCTGGCCAATGGGATGTGGGCAAAAGTGACGTTCACCATGTCAGGCCTGGCCCTTCCACTGGATCCTCCACGTCCACTCTTTCCCATTCTCTGCCAGCAGGGCATCAATGCCTAGGGCCGCCCTCCATATTCAAAAGAACTTCATGCCACGTGTTCTGAAAGCTCAAAATCTCAATTAACAAAGAGATCTTCAGTGTTTTATTCCATTGGACAAATGGCATAATCCCTTTACAGATTCAAAATTGTTTTCTGGACAAATAGTGTGACCTCTTTCAAACGTGTATTTTTACCCCTCCCTTCAAACAGCCATTTTAAAGTTTGCTAACTTATGAGTACAGGGTCAACTCTCCCCTTCCCTGTTGATTGTCCCAAAGTTTCATGTTCCCTTGGAGTGTCCTGGAGCCCTCCTCGCCGGCTGTCTACAAGAGAGTCTGAGAGGGGGACTTAGGTGTATACTTAGGTGAGAAAAGAAAGCCTGTAATCTTGAAGCATGAGGGACATGGGGTGTGGTGTTTCCCAGTCCTTGGTTGGTGGGCACTCTCCTCCATCCTTCCTGCAAGGCCTAGTGGTTAAAGTTCAGCACGCTCCACTTCGGCAGCCTGAGTTTGGGTCCCAGACACGGAACCACACCACTCATCTGTCAGTAGCCATGCTGTGGTGGCGGCTCACATAAAAGAACTTACAAATAGAATACACAACTACGTACTGGGGCTTTGGGGAGGGCGGAAAAAAAAAGAGAGGAAGATTGGCAACAAATGTTAGCTCAGGGAGAATCTTTCCCAGCAAAAAAAAAGAGCAACATGTTGCTTTTAAATTGAGTCCCACAGTGGGAGTCCTTGTTGAAGATAGCAGAGCCTCTGCCACCCTGGGTGCCTAAATGACTTTGTGGACAGAGTCACCCCTACTCCCACCTCCTTGGTGTGCATTAGACTTTACATGAGAGGGAAATAAATCTTTGTATTGGAACTCCTGAGATCTAGGGGTTTATCTGTTTCAGTATCTAACATTACCTTAATTAATACATTACAATGACGCGTTCCTGCATAGATTCCTAACTGCAGGTTGTATCTTGTCCCCCCAAACATAATTTTGACAATAAAAGTTTAATATGACACATATTGCTTGGCTGGTGATTACTAGTTATGTCTCTCAAGTCTAGTCTCATAAAGGGAAGAATCTCTCCTATGAGACTTTCCCATTACAAAATCCTCCACATCAACAGTCTGGACCACCTGTTAGGAACCAAGAAGATATCATAGCTTTCACTTCCTGGTCTGAGAGAGTGAGATTGTTCCTAAAAGCTATCTGTGCACGGGAAATATCTGATGAGTCTCCTGGATTTGTTCCTTGTCATGGGCTGAGTTGTGTCCTCCTGTCCCCAAATTCATTTCTTGAAGTCCTAACCCCTAATACCTCAGATTATGATTGTATTTTTGGAGATAAGGCCTTTAAAGAGGTAATTAGGGTAAAATGAGGTTATCAGGGTGGGCTCTAATGCAATGTGACTGATGTCCTTATAAGAAGAGGAGATTAGGACACAGACATACAGAACATGTGAACGTGAAAAACACGCGAACATGAAGATGGCTAGGTACAAAGAGAGAGGCCTCAGAGGAGCCAACTCTGCCCACATTAGATCTCAGACTTCTGGCCTCCAGAACTGTGAGAAAAATTCCACTGTTTTAAGTCACCCAGTGTGTGGCACTTTGTTATGGCAGCCCAAGCAGACTAATACAGTCCTGAAGGTGGTAGCCCGGACACCAGGACAATCTGAAAGGCTAGTGTGGGTCATTCTGTATTAACACCAGTTACCATCAGGATTGTTTCCTTTGGTCTCCAACCCCAATACACATGTGTCTCTGGCAACTTGCTCTCTCCCCTCTTTCTTTGTCATTTCAGAGTCTCTTTTCCTCTTTCTCTATTTATCAGAGATAGAAAAGAAAAAGGATGTGAATGGAGGACATTACTGAGATGATGGGGATGGGGGCTGTTTCTCCTAATCCTGAGATAAGATGGAAATCCTTTGCCAGGTGAGCACATCTCTTACAGTCTCTCAGAGTTGGAAAAACAGGTGTGAGTTGGGAAGAGGTGTGGGGTTTTGCTAATGGGGAGCCCCACGGTCCTACTGTGTTGAGCCGCGGCAGTGAGCTGCTTATGGGTGCATCTCTCTGGTTATTCAGCTGTTGCTATGGCAGATCCCGCAGTGGTGTCCTTGCTGGCTGTTTAAACAGGGAGCATGCTCAGTGTGGCTGGGCAGGGGGTGGCACGGAGCAGGGGCAGGCGCTTGCCTCCCTGATAAAAGAATCAGTGTAGCATAAAGGAGAGACTGATTTTTGGAGGTTTCTTGTGGGAGAGACATCCAATAGGCATCCCTCAGATTTCTCCCAGCTCTGTGAAATCTGCCCCAGTCCAAGCTGACCTCAACTGGGAGGATGCCAAAATGTCCCGCTGAGTGACAGAGGTAAGGGATGGAGTTAGGTATTTCATTTACAAAGACCCTGGTTAAAGCAACCTTTGTTGTCTCCACTAGTTTCTGTGGTTCTTTTGCTAACGTTGTCCCCAAATTTCAACTCCTCTACCTTGCAGAGCGTGTACCTATGTGCATGCACACACACAAAGAGGAAGAGAGAGAAGATCTCTGTATGATGGTTCTGAAAGTAGCTGAGCCAGGATGATAATGGAAAGTCTAGAAGCTAGGACTTCTAGACTATTCCTTTTTTCTTTTTTTTTAAGCGATGAATTTGAGATCAGCCCAGCATGATGAAATATCCTCCATTTTTTATGAGTCTGGACCTTTATTTGCCTGGATTTGTTCAGGAAGCCTCACTCTCTTTCCTGTGTTGCCCAGGGAAGCCCATTTCCTTCCAAGGGAAGTTCCTTCTTGGACTAGGAATTCACCTCAGGTTGCATCTTCTCTCCTGTTTCCCCAACAGAGGCAGGCAGAGCGCCACCGAGGGTCCCAGTGAGGTGGGCTGCCAAGAGCATTTCCCACTGCAGTGCCTTGGCTGGGAAGGCAGCTACACTGCCCAACGGGGCTCAGGCTGAGCTGAACCCGCACTCTGTTCTGGGGGTGACGGTGTGGCGGGAAATCGCAGCAGGACAGGCCTGCGCTCTGCGAAAACATCCCTGACCAGCTGTGGAATACACGTCCCAGCACACGAGCATGGGGAAAACACTCCAGGGTGCTTTTGTCAGTGGGCATTCACTGAGTACTGTGTCAGTGCTGTGCCAAGCGCTTTTCACACATCATATTTCATCTTTCCAACAATCCTGTGAGGATATCTCTACTTTACAGATGAGAAAACTGAGGCACAGAAGGGCTCAGGAACATGCTCAAGGTTGCACAGCTGGTGAGTGGAGGAGCTGGGACTGGAACTCCAGGGTGCCCACCTCCAGAGCCCTTGGCGTGCACCCGATGTAAACCCAATGTAAATCCAGCGAAGAGAAGCACACCCAGAAATCTTAATGGAATCCACAGGATCAGTTTCTTTAGCTTTTAATGTAATCAAAATATCTATCAGGTTCAAGATTTTTTTCCTCTTTATTATAAATTTAGACACTTTGTCTGAAATATAATTCTTCAAGTCAAGTCAATGGACTTATCACTTTCCTTGACCTCCTACTGCAATACTTTTTCCATCCAATACTCAGCCTCATTACAGTCACACACACACTTTTTCATCACTTTTTAAAGATCTAATGGGCTAGACTTGTTCTCTGCTAATACTCATTCTTAGGATAGTTTTCTAGACTCCAGAGAGCATTTATTTGTGTCTCTTCCAGCGCTAACACATTCAGTGGTAGTAGATAAGGTCTTGAAAGAGGCCCCTTTATTCTTTGGTGCCACGGGTGTTCTCTAGCAGAAATACTTAGCCGGCGAAATAATGTACTTGCATCCTGAGCACCTACCCTAAGCAGCTTAGACTCCAGAGAGAGACTTTTGTCTACACAACATTTCCAAAAGATTTTGCATTTGGAAATATTTTTATGATCATCTATCTTTTCAGCACTTTTCCCTGCTTTAAGAAAAACTGGGGTGAGTGAGGGGAGGGTGGACACAGTCGCACAGGGTTACAGGGAAGCCAGATGGCAGAGGGAGAGAATTCTAGCAACACTCGAGTGTTCCTGGAGACGGCGACTTCAAGAGTCATTGGGGGTTTGAATCCAGACCCTGCTGAAATCAAGGCCTTCTGACCTAGGTGAGCCCAGGTGAGGACCAACCACTGGAAGGCCCGACCAGGCTCCTGCAGGGGCGGGAGCTGGGGGGCGCAGTCGACAGGTGGCAGGGCCAGGTTTGGGATGGCACTTGGGGCGAAGTGCTGAGACCCGAAAGCTGCGTTTGGTGGAGGTGGGCTGGGTGGGAGCTCGTCCCAACTCCTCCATTGGGAAACACAAATGTTTCCCCGGGGTCCCGGGTCCCGGCGCTGAGCGGTTGGGAGGGGTTAGGCCGCCGCCCGGGCCGCGCACCCTCGGCGGGGAGCGCGCACCGGCCTGGCCCCCACCCGCCCCGCCGCGGGGTCGCCGCTCTCGGCGCGCTCCCCTGCCCTTCCCTCCCCTCCCAGGCGGCGGCGGCAGCAGCGCAGGGGAAGGGGCGGGCGGGGGCCGCCGTCTCTCCTCCCACCGCGCCGCGCCGCGCTCCCCGGCCCCCAGCGAGCCGCCGGCCGCCGGCTTCCTTGTCGCCGCGCGGCGTCCCGGGCGGGCGCGCGCCGCGATGGCAGCGGCCGAGCGGGCCTGAGCGCCGCCCGCCCGCAGCGCCGGCCCCTCCGGCCCAGCCATGGCGAAGCAGTACGATGTGCTATTCCGGCTGCTGCTCATCGGGGACTCCGGGGTGGGCAAGACCTGCCTGCTGTGCCGCTTCACCGACAACGAGTTCCATTCCTCGCACATCTCCACGATCGGTAAGGGGCGGTGGCCGGAGGGCGCCCCACCCTCCCCGCGCCACCACCTGCCCAAGGGCCCCTTCCCTTCCCCAGCCCGGAGGATTGTCCGCCCCTCGGGCGAGAGGCGGTGGCGCGGGCGGCCAGGGCCAGGGACTGAATCCCGGGGTGAGGGGCCACCAGCTGGGGACCTGAGCCCCGGTTCCCGGAGGTGAGGGCGTCCCTGCTGGTGTCCGTGACTAGGGAGAGGTTCTCCGGCCTTGCGCTGGGGAGCCTTCCCATCAGAGCTGAGAGAACGCGGGCGGGTGTAGGCCTGGGTATCCCGAGCTGGAGCAGCGAGAATCCTAGCCACCGAAATGACATCCCACAGCCCCAGGTGGAGGAGGGGGACGGGAGGTACAGCCTGTACTCGGGAAGAGGGGTTCAGGGTGGGGAGCCGGGTCACTGAGTCACTGGGTACCCTCAGTTCAGGAGTGACCCGGTGTGGAGCCAGGAGGCGGAAGAGAGGAGGAAGGGAGGGGCCAAAGGGATTGAGTTCCTGGGCACAGTTGTGAAGGTAAGCCACGAGGTGGGACACCTGGAGGTGAGACGCTCAACGTTCATGCGTGTGAAAGGGGCACTTCTTAGCCAGCTCCAGGAAAGCAGTTGGCTGAAGCATTTGTTTTGAAGGAGGCTGAGGAGGACAAGGAACTCAAAACTACTTGTCCAGACCAGCAGGTCAGAAGGCAGGCAGGACACACCTTAGAATACATTTCTCTGATCTGGCAGTGCTGGAGCCTGTGCTTAGCGGACAAGGCCTGGTGGCATTCCCAGCAGGACTGGGATGGGATCACTTGTTCTGGGAGGGGGTCGGTGGTCTCCCCCCTGCCCAGATCTCTCCCTCTTGGGTCCTGAGGGGGCCCCCCCTCTGAGGTCTGAATTGCGGGAATCCCACCCACATCTGACCAGTTCCCCATTGATGCCACGGAGCAGCCTCAGTGCTGCCCAGGTCCCCTCCCGTCAGAGAGGGCCCGGCACTCAGCTTCCACTTGAGTCTTCTGCCTTCCCTCCCAACACACACTCCCTGCCAAGACAGAAGAGGGAGCAGGTAGAGGTGGGAGGAACGGAGCCTTGTGGTTAAGAGGCTGTCTGTTGTCAGACAGACTTGGAGACCTCACTCTGGGACAGCACACTTTGGGACAGCGTGCCCTTGAATATTGCTTAAGCTTCTGAGCTTTAGTGTCTCATCTGTAGAATGGGAATAATAACACTATCTCCCTCCTGAGGCAATGTAAGGATTAAATGAGGTAATGTCTGTAAAAGCGCTTGGCACACAGTCAGACACATTGGTGACGCTGGATAAATGCTGGTTGTTCTTACTGTTGTCCTCATCGTTGAGCTCCCAAGGTCTCACTCCATCTTTGCTTCACTACCATCAAGGGACTTAGGGTCAGGGAACGCACTCGTCTTTCTCCGGGGAGCCGAAAGGCAGGCTCCCAGCAGGTCCAGGAGCTGGGGTTGGGCCACTGTTCGGAGAGACGGCTCAAAGGGATGGGTGGGGTAGGAGGCCTGCAGGAGGGCTGCGTGCCTCTGGGAAGGCTCAGGGAGGAGGCAGCCTTGGGAGAAAGCCTGGAGTGATGAGCAAGGGAGTGGCTGAGGAACCAGATGGGATGTGAGGACAGCTTGCAGGCTTGGGGATAAAGGGCAGCAGGTTAGCACTTAGGGAAAATTGCAGTGGTTATTTTTGGGATGGGCCTGGTGCCAGGGGCTGCTGAGTTATTGCAGAGGGCTGTGGGCTGCCTGGGGGCCCCTGGGTTTTGCCTGAAGAGCAGTAGTTTGCACCCTGTGTCCTGGACACATTTCAAGTCCTAGGAGTACCTGAGTTTTTCCCTGGAGAGCTTTACTCAGCCACCTCATGTCCGAAGCTCTTGGGCTCCCGCTTAGTGTTGTGGGGGAGTTAGCCTCCCCTGGGAGACGTGTCCTCCATCCCCACAAACCAGTGAGGGAACCGTTTCTAAAATACCCAAATGGCCCTTGCGAGGGGCATGCTTTCCCCAGTCCCTTGGCCCCGGATGGCTGATCACTAGCCTTCTCCTGTGTCTCTTCCACCTTGTCTTCTCCCGTCTTAGACACCTTCTTCCTGCTGGACAGGTGAACGCGCAGTTTCCCTCACTTCCTCGGAATCCCTCTGGGGCCGCCCACTTTGGGGGCAGAGGTGAATCCGTGTCTCTGCACCACTCCCCCTCCTGTCCCCTCAAGGCCCTTGGTATTTTGACCTAAAACCTGAAGGTGGCTCTCCTAGTTCTTCCTCTGCTTCTGAGGGCTGGCTCCCCCCTTCCCCGGGACGCAGAGGACTGTTTAGGAGTTTGGATTCCATGGAAGAGAGAGAAACCTGTGTTTCTTCACACCAGCCTTTTAAAATTTCCCCACTGGGTTTCTTCAATGCGTTGTTGTTTAAAGCTTCCTAGGGTCCCTGTGATTCTCCCCCGGCGTGGGCATGTTTTCAGCCTGAACTAAGACTTACGGAGAATTAGACGGTCAGCTTTTGCTCCAGGGATACAGAAAGTTTCCCGTGGAATTGGAAGGGGCAGCCAGGAGGCAGATCAAGGAGCCAAGGAAATGGGTACTACCAAGTCACATTCATTAATTTATCCATTCAGAAAAACCACGCGTGGCCTGTGGCTCGGCTGGGTGCTGTGACCTGGAGATCCCCACATGCATAATACACGGAGTCCCCTCTCAGGCTGCTCCTCATCTAAGACACATTCTTTTACCGTGCTGGGCATTGATCCAGACACCTTTCCCGGAGCTGCTTTTGTGAATGGGGAAAATGAGGCAATTCAGCAATTACTGCCAAGACAGAGGTCAGATTCTTGGATCATGCTGATGTCACCTAGGCTGGCACTTTCCTGATTTACCGATTATGTCACTTACTCTAAGAGCCTGTGACGTTCCAGAGAAGGGCCTGCCAGGGAGCCGTGAAGAGACCTCCCAGGTGGGCTGAGCGCCAGGGGCCCTGAGGTGGCTCTGTGCGCCCGCAGTCCTTCCCTGTGCGGCTGGCCGAGCTGACCCACATGCAGAGCCCAGGGGGCCGTTGGTGCCTTAACTTAAATCTGCTGTTTCCTCACCTGTTCAACAAATTAATTAAGACTCACTACAGAGCACCGGAGCACCGTGCCAGGCATTTTAGAGACATATTCAGTTCATCTTTGCCTGCCCACAGCAGCCCACAGTCTAGGTGGGCAGGCGAGACACAGACAAAAAGTACCTTGGCCACAGCCAGGTGGTTTATGTGGGAGCGCTTGGGGAAGCCACTTCAGGGGTAGGATCGGTTGTGGTCGGTACCGTTACTGTGAAGAAGGGCTTGCAGTCGTCCTCAGGAGCTGAATAATGATGTCAGACGTGCATGAGGCAGCGGGGGGACAGTGAGGGGACCGTGAGTGCTCCTGCTCCGACCCAGTGCTGGAGCAGGCTGGGAAGGAGAGGGCCCTGTGGGCGAGAGGCCGCAGGGAGGGCTCTCGGATGGGGAGGCTGCAGCCGGCCCCGCCCTGCCTTGTGGGCTGCGTCTCAGTCCCTGTTGGGCGGGAGCAGATGGTGGAACGGGAGCAGGGACCGCAGAGGTGGGGAGTCCGTGGGCGTTCCTGGGACTCTGGACAGTCTGGCTGGAACACAGGGGAGTTTTTAGGGGAAGAGTGAGAACATTCCTCTGTTTATCTCTCTGTCTCCCAAACTTTGCTGTAAGTGCCTTGAGGGTGAGACCAAATCTCATTCCTCTTGTTTTCACAGTCCTAGGTCGGGGCCAGGCATGCTCCCCAGGAGTGGTGTTAAATGAAGGAATGGATGTGGGGCCCAGGGGGCTGAGGGCCTCGAGGGCCTGGCTGAGGAGGTAGACACTGAGCCTTCGCAGTGGGTTGAAAAGTTTCTAGCAGGGGGATGACCTGGTGAAAATGGCCGTTAGAGGGGTTAAGACCGGCAGCGAGGAGACCGGTCCAGGGCTGTGGCGGTAGCTGGGCACGGAGGAACTGCTCAGCTCCTTCCTTCTCTCTCCTCCAGCCCCACCCCGTCCTGTGGCACTCACACCAGACTCCACACCCTCGCTGTTCTCGTTTCCCTGCAGAAGTGGGGAGTAGCTTGAACCCATCAACCTGGCAACTTCTAGAAGGGCCTCATGTGACCTGTGCTGCCTGCCCAGGCAGGGAGCTGTCCTCTCCTACATGGACATCTGCGTGCAGGGGACCTTTGGTTTCCTTTCCCATGGTGGCCAGAAGTGACATGGAAGCCAGTAATGCAAGCTGAAGGGACTGCCCACAGTTGATTTTATCCCTCCCATCCTTGGTCTTTCCTGAGTAGACCTGTCACCTGGTCTCTGTACCCTATTTTTTTAAAAATAAATTTCAGGTGTACGTGGTTATATTTTGACTTTTGTATAGACTACATCGTGTTCTCCACTAAAAGTCTAGGATGGACCTTGAGGGTATTATGCTAAGTAAATAAGTCGGAGGGAGAAACATGGACCTTTTGTTTCAAAGGGCTCCTTTTGGCTGAACCCCTTCTGGGTTCTGAGGAGCTGTGATCTGTGATTTTCCCGTTTGACAGGTCAAACTGCTATGTCTTCAGGGCTGCTTTCTCAGGCTTGGTCTTCTGCAGTATCACCTTTCTCAGGAAGTTCTGTTTGAACTGGCCGTGGCTGCCTGGGGCAAGGGTTTGTGGGTGACTGAAGGGGAGGGAGAGGGCTGGGGCAGGACCAGCGGGCAGAGACCTGAGCCTGGAATCCAGCAGCCTAATGAACCTTGGGGCTACTGCTTGGGCACTACGGTCCTGGGGTCTGTGGGCCCCAGACCATGAGGCGCTGTGTACACTGCTGAAGGGACAGAGTGGGTCTACATGCTATGGTGGGAGGCCTTCGCTCCCCTCCAGCCCTGGGGCAGCCTGAGACAGGTCTCTTCCCACTCTGTTCCCAAGGCCCAGAAGAAAGGAAGGGAAGGTGAGAAGACATGAGTAGATTGGAAAGAGGGCCGAGGACATGCATGAGATTCTCCGTGGCCTTACTGGCTTTGCAACCTTCAGATGCTTATTTAATGTCTCTGTGCTTAGGTTCCGCATCTGTAAACTGATGATATTAAGAGTCTTTCTTAAAGGTCATGGTGAAGATTACAGAGGCTGATGGATACAAAGTACTTGGCAGAGCCCTCAATAAAATGGGAGCAGCTATCATTATCATCACTATTCCTAGCTCATAAGAAAGTTGTCAAGGGGCCGGCTCCTTGGCCAAGTGGTTAAGTTTGCACGCTCCGCTGTGGCGGCCCAGGGTTCAGATCCTGGGCGCGGACATGGCACCGCTCGTCAGGCCATGTTGAGGCAGCATCCCACATCCCACAACTAGAAGGACATGCAACTAAGATATATACAACTGTGTACGGGGGGGGGGGGGGGGGGTTGGGGAGATAAAGCAGAAAAAAAAGTGTTCAAGATTAATAAACTGTCAATGATGTGCTTTGAGGTCACCCTCTCTGTCACTCATGCATTCAGCCATTGGAGCACTGTTTACTGAACACCCACTCTTATGCCAAAGTGTAAGAAACCTGGCTAGATTCTTACCAAAAATCAGACATAGATCCTCTAAGGAAGGCAGTACAAGATGAATCTTCACAGATGAGCAGCTGGGCCTCATGCCCAGTGCTGGGTGAGGAGCTGGGGGTACAGAGGTGAGCAGAACAGACAGGAATCAGGGCGCTGTCCCTTCTTCCAGGGGAGCACTGGAGGAGGCTCTGGGTTTCATCTAAGTCTCTGTGCCAGGCGCCCCCGTGCCCTGGCAGTGCCCAGGGCTAAGGAGGAAGAGTGAGCTGGTTTGAAGGAATAGGGAGAGAGGTGACCCGAGAGGACAGGGGTGGCTCTGCTTCAAGGCTTGGGCCTCTGCCAGGTGTGGCCCTGCCTTGGGCCTCCATTCTGCCCATCCTTTCCCCAAGGACGTGATCCCCAAGAACGGCTCTGATACCTCATTTCGGCTGCCCTACGCGCCTGTGCCACCTTCACGGCTCTGCAGATTCAGCCGCGGCTCAGCTCCCTGGGGCTTGCTCCTTCCTCCTCCTGCCAGCCTCCTCCCGCTCCCCAGAAGGCTTGGTGATGAGCTTTATTACATGAAAGTCGATATTTGGCCATTACCCTGCTACTCTGATTGCCAGCTCTTCTCAGAGTGCCTTCTTCTGTAATCTAATATTTGCGCCTGTTTCCCTGTAAAACTGCCAATTTTCTGCGCAGGCCTCTGACCTCTCCTTGGCCGTTCTGCCTGGGCAGTGTGCTTTGTGAAGGGAGCCACAGAGCTTCCTGGACATTTAGTTCCTCCCACCGAGGAGGAAAGATTCACCATCAGCCCTATTTTATAACTGGGAAAACCGAGGCCCAAGAAAAGTGCTGACTCACATCCACATGCAGGTGGCCCATGCTGGAACGTCTCCTCTCCTCCAGTCTTTCCAGACTGGCTTGGGGCATGCGCTTGCTCATCCCAGAAGGCCCTTCCACAGGTTGCAAATAGAACCTCTCTCTTGTGAGCCCAGTGGATGGAACATGTGCCTCCCCACCCATCTGAGGGCTCTGAGACAGAGAGACGCTGTGTCTCTGCTGTTGGCTGAGTCTGCTTCCTTGATGTGACCTTCTGGGGGACAGTCAAGGGCTGTGATTGAAGGGTCTGGCTGGGGGAACCTCTGAGGATGAGATCTGAGAGTTGCCCTCATATCACTATTTGATAATATATTCATTGAGGACTCTGTGGCTGGGGCCCCATCATCTCTCCACTGGTCTTTTCTCATGGAATGTACTGACTTCATTCATTCACTCATTCGTGCACTTGTCCACGTACTCATTTTTTCTTCCATTTATTTAATTTTGTTGAATAATATGTAATGAGTATCTACCGGCTGCCAGGCAATGAGAATAGGAAATGAATCAGATGCTCTCTTGCCCTCTGGGGGCTCACAGTGCAGTGGGGGAGTCAGGCATGCAGACAACCAGAACGTTATGTAAATGCAATGTCAAGATGCTTTGGAGTCACAGAGGACCGATCAGTTCCCCCCAGGGTTGACTGGTGAAGGCTTCACAGAAGAAGTGACAGTTGAGTGGGTCCTTGAAGACTAAGTAAGGTTCCCCAGAGGACAAGGGGTCGGGGAGGAGGCACTGTGGAGAACGCCTCATCATTTGGGGCTGCTACTCTTCTGCCCCACTGGGCCAGCTGGTAGTGGCCAGGTCATGGTCATACTAGCTTAAGTTCAACTAGATCCTTGCTAGGAGTTTGCTTCATGGGCTCTCTGTGAGGGCAGATGCCTCTGGAGGCCGTCTCCTCCAAGATGTTTGCTCCTGAAGCTCCCAGCCCATTTCTTCCTCCCGGAACCTTCTCTTGCCTGTCAACATGGCCCTTCCTGGGAAGAGGCTCAGGAGGAGATGGAGGACTAAGTAGTCAGTACCCTGGCAGGTCTTGGCCGCCTCAGCTGTGCCCACAGACCACTCAGCAGCAGGCTTAGGGAAGCGAGGCCCAGGTAAGGGGTCTGCCAGACAGGAGCAGGACAGGATTAACTGGCGCACACGGCACATATCACAGAGGCCCTATGGAGGTCTGTGCACGCGGTCATGGGAAGGGAAAGGGGAAGGGACCTGGTGTTTCCTGAGTACCTACTCTGTGTACCCACTCTGTGTACCAGAATGATACGCTTTATACACATGAGTTATTCAGTATAGAGATCTCACCATAAAGTGGGGGGCAAGGAGTCCCCAAGTTGCCCTTTCTAGTGTTTGAGAAGTTTCTTGATACATTCTTGAGGTTAGAGCCTCTAAACAAGTGTATATGTACTTGGACATGTGCACACACATGTGCACATATGAGTGGGTCCCTGTGAGATCCAAGGTAAGCGCAGGGCCTTGCTGTGCCTTCCCTCTCTACAACAGAGGAAAGAATGATGTTGGTCCCTCCGCCCTTTCTCTTCTGAGGAACTGCAAGTTTGACTGAAAAGTGTTCCTGCCTGGGGCGCTGACCCTTCAGACCTTCCCCCTGCGGTACCTTCCTGCCATTCGGGTCTCAGCTCAACTGTCACCTCCTCTAAAAGGTCTTCTCTGAGCAGCTGATCTAAAGCAGCCTGCACACGGATCTCCTCACTCTCTACTCCGTTATTCTGCTTTTGCCTCTTAACACTTATCACTCTCTGAAATTATTAGTTTACTTATTGATTATCTGTCTTTCCCACTAGAACAGAAGCTCTCTGCAGACAAGGATCTTTCTGTATTATTCGTGGCTGTGTCTTCTAGTACCTACCTTAGTTCATGGCACAGAGGAGGCACTCAGTAACAGTTTGTTTGAATGAGTGCGTGCATGCATATGTGCGTTTTCCTAGAGAACTTTGGCTCTTCCCTGAGGGAAGTTCCAAGTAGTGTTGGTTTCTTGGGACTCACAGACAATGAGAAACTCACTGGGCTCCACACGTGTTGGGGCTGTGAGAAGAGGGGAAGTTCTGTAAGGGGTGAGCAGTGCCCAGTAGCTTTTAGCTCTTCTGCTCAGATCCATGTCATAGGAGAAGCTCAGACATAGCAGGGAGCAAGAAAGTGGCTCCTGTGATCCCGCTGTGAGTGGGGTCCTCTTTGGTGAATGCAGAGACAAGGGGTCAGTATCTTAGACTAAGTTCAGTATTGTCTGTCACTCAGGGTCACTACTGGTGACGGATGATGCCCGTTGACTCAACCGAGCTGCTAGAGGGACCTTCCAGAACCACCTCAGGGTCAGGGGCTCAGGCACTGAGGGCATGCACTCCTTCCAGCCTCATGGGAGGCCGTGTTTGACCGGGAAACCCTTCTATGATAATGGGTCCTGGGTTTCTGAAGATTGGCTCTCCAAGATTTTATATGAAAGGGGTAGGCTCCACAGTGGTCCTGATCCCCATATCACCACTGTCCTTCCACATTGAGGTCCTGTGTGTGTGTGTCTGTGTGCACGCATCTGTTTGTGTCTTTATAAAGAAGGGAGGGATCGAGTATCATTCTGGAAATTTCCACCCTTTCTTGTGGGTGGGCATCTGAATCAGAGCCTTTGGGCCCAGTGCCCTGGAGGTTAAAACATGGCCTTGGAGTTAGCCAGCGACCAGGCATCCCTTTATTTCCACTTCCCATCACTCCCAGGACACGGTGGTGCGAATGAGGCAGCATGAGGGGCAGTCAGCCCGCACTGGGTCCAAGGAGAAGCCAGCCAGCATGCAGTCCCGCAGGCAGTGAGGCCGAGGCCCCACGGAAGGCAGGCAGAGGGCTGCAGCCAGAGCAGGTTTGGGCAAAGCTGCTCCCAGCTCCCCTCGCCTGACTGGGCTGAGGGACATTCATGTGCCAGGAGCCTTTGTCTGGAGTCCTCCCTTGAGCCTTGTCTCTTAGCTCTCCCTCTGTGTTGTCTCCTCCCTGCTCCGCCCCTGACTTGTGTTATCGGTCTCCTGGCATTAGTAGGCCTCTCTCTTGCCGAGAGGGGGTTTTGAAATGGAGATTACTGTGATGCCTTGTTGGGGGTGGCAAAGTCAGGCAGCCACCTCCCCCCAGGCTCTTTCTTTCCCTAAAGCTTGTTTTGGGGTTTCTCAGGGTGACCTCTTGGGAGGTGACCTCCTGCCACAACCCACATGAGCTCCACATGTCCAGCACATGCTGGTTTTCTGGGGGGCGGGGCAGGGCCTTCCTGAACTTCAGCTTCGTAACTGGAGCCAGCATGGCTCCAGGCATTGGGTGTCTGCCTTGGGTTTCAGGTGTATTAGGTTTTCCCTGTTGCGGCGTCTCATTGCTAATGAGAAGGCTCAGGTCACGCTGCTGGTCCTTTGGGCTGTGGTTGATCATGGTGATAACATTGGCACCCAGAAGAGCCCTGTTTCCACTTGAACCACGTGGCACTTGGCAGACAGGCAAGCTGGCACCTGACGTTAACCCATGAGGTGCTGGCCCACCAATAGGCACACCTTAGCTGTGCCAGAATTTAGGTTGTAGTCAGACTCTGGGGGCCATGTAGCCTCCATGGTGAGTGGCAGTTTCTCTTTTTGTTGAAATGCTCCAGCTTAGTGTGTCTGTCTTGCCTCTCTGCCCCGTTCTCCTCCATCTTCCCAACTTGAGCCCCGCCTACTTCCCAGAGCTCTCTCCATTCCCCGAGCTGTGACCCTGGGTTCCATAATCCCATCCTCCCCTACAGGAGGCTGATAGCTTCTTCAGCTAACATTTAATAAAGCTCTATGTGCCAGGCTCTGCCTTAGGGGTTTTATACCTCATCTCATAATCCTCACAAAATTCTCTGACATCAGGGATCATCATCCCCATTTTATAGGTGAGAAACGGAGGCAAAGAGAGGTTAAGTAGCTTTCCCAAGACCACACAGGTAATTAGTGGAAAAGGCAGGACTGGAACCAAACTCTGGCCTCACAATCGTGTTCTTATTGACCATGCCCCTCTGTTTCTTGAGCCGCACTTCCTCCATGCTTTCTTTGGAGGCAGACAGTGCGGGGGGGGGGGCGGGGGGGAGTGTTCTTTCCCCCGGATCTGTCCTGTTTCCTTCTTTCCAGTCTCCACCTGCCCTCACTGCTCGACTGGGAAGGTAGTAAGCTCTTTGCCAAGGCAAGATATCTTAGGAGCCAAGTGAGTGCCAGCACTGTCTACCCTGCCCCATCCCTCTGTCTGCCCCAGGCCCTGGTGCCCAGAAGAGGGCCTTGCTTGTCCTCCTAGTTCTCTGACAGCATCCCTGTCACTGTGCTGCAGGGGTCAGGTCGTGGCCTGGCAGTCGCAAGGGGTTGCTGCTGGAGGAGCAAAGGCCATGCAGCCAGGGACACAGCAGGAAGAGCCAGAGGCCTAGGGCTGCCTCAGGCCACAGGTGTGGTGAGGGCAGCACCTGTCCACATGCGTATCAGGACCTGGCACTGTCACTTAACTGACAAGTTTTTCTTGCCAGTGTCTGCGAGGCATTTAGATGGCAGGACACATGTCCCTGCTCTCGAGCCGCTGGCGCCCATCCCGCCTTGTGCTCTCTGGGGGAGGACGATGCCACTAATGGAAATGCTATTTTATGCCCGGCATTGAGCTGGTATGGAGGTAAAGATTAAAAAAAAAAAAAAACTTTGTCAAATACAGAATATACTCTCTGCCCCTTAGGTACTCCATGTCTAGTTGGGGCCAGAAGACAAAAACCAGGAGGCAGCAAGGAGCAGGGCCCATGGTTTTAGAAGTCTTCCTCCCAGCCCCATAGTTGGGACGTCTTGCCCACCGGCCTGGCGGAGTCCTTAGGCAGCAGTGGACAGTCACAGGCTGTGAATCTTCAGGCATCCTGAGGCGCTCTCAGAAAACAGGGATGTGCTATGAGGAAACCCATGGGCAGGAAGGTGGGGTCTGGTGTGGACTGGTGGCTGTGTGAGGATCCAGCGCCCTCAGGCCCACTCTGGCCAGTGCGTTTGCCGTTTTAGTCATCCCGCTTCTCTGCACTTCTGTCTGCTTCATGCTTCTCTCCTTACCAACTGGCCAGTCCCTTCTGCAGCGTCTGAGGGAGCTAGTTTGATTGGCTTAGCTAGGTTCCCTTGCCCTGTTGGCCAGGTCCCCTTGTGGGTCACCAGCAAGCCTGTTGATGGATCTCCTTTGGGTCAGATACCCATCCCTGGTCCAGTCAGGAGCTGCTTCTCCACAGTGAACACGCTGTGCCTAGCCCTCCTTCCCTGAGCAGGGGCTTTGGGCTGGGCACTTCCAGCCAGAAAAGGATACTGGGTGTGGTAGAGACCATGATCGACATATCTGAGGTGCTGGGAAATCACGATGAGCTGCTCTGCACTTGGTTGGGAGAGGGCCGCATCTTCCTGACTTTCTCCTCCCAGGAGAACCTCTGCTGGAGCCACGTGAGGGGTTTGCTTGTTCTTCACCCCTGCGTATTCCCTGTGCCCAGGAAAGGAAGCAGGCTCTCTTTAGGGACACTGAGATGGCACTGTCCAGGGGGATGCATCTGGGCTTAGTGGAATCGTGAACTCTCAAGGAGCAAGGGGTTCTCTGAAAATAGGTTGTGGTGGGCTTGCTCCACGTGTGCCCACTGCCTCTCTTCCAGATGCTTCATGATACCAGAACAAGTGTGGGGTATGCCGGGTGTGACAGCAAAGGCAGTAAGATTCCACAGCCTCGAAGGGCTGGGAAGCCACTAGTGGGGTGCAGAGTACCCTGGGTCAGTTTTAAGACACCAGTTTCCCCGTCTGGCTCAGCCACAGGATGTGGGGACATGAGTAAGTTCCTCGGCCTCTCTGTGCCTCACGGTAATAATCTGCACTCCTACCTAATTCACAGGGCTGGCATGAGAACTGAGGGCGTCAGATTCCCTAGCTGGGGGAGTGCTATGATTGTGAGCATTATTATGAGCCTTGGGTGTGGCGCTGCCTAGAGGTGGGGTAGATAGTGGTTCTCAGACTTTAGCGTACCTACAATTTCGCAGGTCTGGGTGGGCCCTGAGAATTTGCATTTCTACCAAGCTCCCTGACGATGTTGATGCTGCTGTTCCCTGGACTAGCAAGGGCCTTGGGGTAGCAAAGGCCTAGAGTATCCAGGGTTCTTAGGTTTGTTTTCCTGGCTGGTCCCCAGGAAGCCTTTCTCCGGGAAAGGGAAGGTAGGAGGCAGACAACCCTTCCTCTCGTGTGCCATGTGCTTTACATACATGGTCTAATTTCTGTTCCACAACAACCCTTAGGAGGCCGGTGGTCTTCTCATTCTACAGAGAAGAAAACTGAGGCTCAGAGAAGTTGAAACCTGCCCAAAGTCACATACCAAGTGCCAGAATCAGGACAGAGCCAGGTCTTTCTGACTCCAATGCCAATGGCTTTTTCTTCCACTGTATTATAGCTCTCAAACTTTCCTCTCTCTAAAAGTCATACATGGTCCTGTTAGAAACACAAGTTTCTGTGCCTTGCTCTCAAATTCTGATTCAGTAGGTCTATGCAAATCAAGATAGCAGCAGTTTAGAAAGATCACCCCGGATGGTTCTAAAGCTGAGCATCTGCAGAGCACACCTTGAGACTGGGAGAACTCCCATGCTGCCTCACTTGACACTTCAGCCTCAAAGCTTTAGCTCCAAATTCTCAAACTTCAGCATGTATTAGAATCACCTGGGGAGCTTGTTAAACCACAGATTCCAGGGCCCCACCCCCAGAGTTTCTGATTCCATGAGTGAGGCCCAAAAGTTTGTCTTTCTAACAAGTTCCAGCTGATGCTGATGCTGCAGGTCCGGGGACCACACTTTGAGACCTACTCTCCTAGAAGCTTGCTATCAAAAGTGTGATCCATGGACCAGTAGCATCAGCCTCACTGGAAGCTTAATGCAACATCAGTCCCCATCTTATCTGTGTGCACCTTCAAGTTTGAGAAGTGCTGCCTTAGAGGAGCCAGAGTGAGAACATGCTGGGAGGGGAGGTAGATGAAGAATCTCTCTTCTTCCCATGGAGTCTGAAGATGCAAGAAAGAGGAGCAAAACTGTTAGGCTGTGCACCCAGGGGGTGCTGATGAGTACAGCTGAGAGGTCAGACTTGGGAAGGTAGGGAACTCTTCCCCAGAGAAGGCAAAGAAAACAGGAAATGCTTAGGAAATGAGGTGGGCCTCAGGAAAGGCTTCATCAGGCAGCATCCGTCTTGCCCATAGACAGTGGAGAAGGACTTCTGTTGACTGCACAGTGGTGGGGAGGGTGCCTGGGGCTGAAGCCTTCAGCAGGGAGGACAGTGGCTGTGAGGAGTGTGAGGGGTGACCACACATGGAATAAACAGTGTGCTGAGCAGCTGCGAGGGCCCGGCTGAGGTGAGAAAGCCTGAGTCCGCAGCGACTGAACAAGCCCAGTGTTTGACTTTGCCCTGCAGCGCCCAGCAGCGGGAGAAACCAACAGCCCCACAGGGAGAGGGAAGGGGCCATGGGTTGGCACAGGTCATGGTGGGCCAGGGGTTGATTGGTAGGGTGGACCCAATGGAAAGTCCAGGGTGTGTAGGAGAGAGAAGGAATAGATTCCACTAGAAGATCCTTGGGCTGTTAATCTTTAAATTAAAAAAGGGGGTGGGGGAGTGGGTGGGCGAGGAAAATCCCTCAGAAGGCATAGACTCTGTTTCTTCCTTGGTGCATTTGAAGAGCCAAAATTGAAGCATTTTACTTCTCAGAGATGTTAAAACATTTTATTGGGGGATCAGGAGGGCCTAGGTTGCAAGATGGTGGGGTGTGTGTGGGTGCTCGGAGCCCCCAGAATTCCCCAGCCTTGGTCCCAGCCACACAGCTGGGAAGCGGAGGATGAGGGAAGGACTCAGGCCCAGCGCTCACCCCCAGGGTGGCTGCACCTCTTCCTGTCAGTCTTGCCTCTCCAACAGCCTGCGTTCATTATCAGGGAGAGTTCCCCTGTGTTGGGGGCTTCTCTCCCAGCCAAGTCCTTCTTGGGGACCCGCAGAGAAACAGGACAGCAAGCATAGTTGAGTTTCTCTGCCTAGTTACCACACAACTCTGCTCTCACTCCCCCAAGAAGCAGTGTGAGGGATCGCGTGGGCTGTGGCATCAACAGGCCTTTGCTCGTTGCCGTGCTGACCTTGGGCTAGTTATCTTCCTGGCCTTTGTGTCCTTTCCACTGAGCTCTGTAAGGGCAGGGGCATGTGTCTGTTGTGCCACTCCATCTGCACCTAGCCCTGTGAGGACACAAAGTAAGTTCCCATAGAAGTTTATGAAATAAAGGGAGTAGGAGCTCCCTTGTGACCACTTTGCACAAGGCACTGACCAGGCTTGCCGGGCTGGTAGGAGGATGTGTTAGGTTTATTACAAAAGGAACAGAATTGCTGGTTCTCCTGGGAAGAAGGCACTGCACCAGGAAAGAACAAGAATTTCTGGAGTCCCTCCTATGCCAGGTGTTAGGGAGAAGCAAATTCTTGACAACTGTTTGTCTTGGGAGGGATGAGCACGCTACGGCCCCACCATGGCCAGGTGCCCCTCTCCTTCTTTCTCTCTCCTCCCCCTCCTCACCGTCTCAGCACGCTCGAAGAATGGCTGCCAGACGTTGCCCATTTGGAAAAGTACAGCTCAACAGAGATGAATCAGCTTGGGTAGGCGAAAAATGATTCACGTCTGACCAGCTTGGTTTAGTTCAGGTTGTCCGTTCTGAATCTTTTTCTCCCTTCTAATTAAATGATTGGTCTTGATGGTGAGAGAGAAGAGCCTGAATTTAATCTGTATTTGTGGAAAGCTGAGGACAGCATGGATACGGGGAGAAGTATTCCCATTGTGAGAGAACTAATGCCAAGGTGGAATGGCAATGGTGGGGAGAATCTGGCACCTTTGGGGTCTTCGGGGCTGTGCTGTGCAGCCGGTGTCTACTGTCCAGAACTCTGCCTTTACCATGTTCCTCCTGAAGACTGCTTAACCATGCCCATTCCTGACTTGTCTCCAGGAAGTTCACGAAGACTTCAGCTTAATTCACCTTTTAGACATACCTCTTCAATCACTGGGCACAGTTAGGGCTGGGGAGATGCAGGATGACAAAAACATCTCCCCTCATCTCTCTGTCCTCACTCACATTCAAGCCTGTGTGCTGCTGCTGGTGCTGACTTCTCTTGCTATAAATTTCCTCAAATACTTTTCTGCCCTGGGCTGCTTTGCCAAATCCCTTATGTTTCTTGTGTCTTGTGGCAACTTAGCTCCTCCAGTCTGGGCAGATGAGCCTGAGAACCCTGTTTGTTTTCCTCTCCATCCCCCAGTGACACACTGTGCCACTGCCTCTTCATCTGGTCGTTGGTGGTCACCATGAGCACCCACTGTGGACCAGGCCTGTACTCACCTATAATGATAGCTGCAGTCGATTGAATATCCACCGGGTACCAGGCACTGCATCTCACTTGGTCTTCTCAGCAAGCCTCTGAAATGACTGCGGTCCCCATGATGGAGGATCTGAGAAGCAAGGTGCCCAAAGTCATATCTGTGAGCTAAGTGGGCAGAGAAGGCTTTGAGCTCAGGCCTGATTTCAAAGCACGTGCTCCTTCTAGTAAACAACAGTGCCTCCTGTGGTGAACGGGGCTAGTCAACCACAGATGTACTAGGCCTTCTCCTTGGTGGGCCTTCTCCAGGTGCCGAGGGTTTCATACACGCCATGGGGTTGAAACAGTCCTGCTCTCTCCAGGGTCTGTGTGCCTTTCCCCCATTCATGACAACGCTGCAACCCCTCCTTGTTGCAGAGAGAATAATAAGGCAGAGAGAGAAAAAGCCCAGGCAAATGAGGCAGATTCTGTTCCTGGGGATGAGAGTTCAAGGAGGGATGGAAACAAGCAGCTCTCCAGAAGTATAATTGGCAGACTTCACACGTGTGTAGAGTGAAACACGTTTGGCGCTAAGTGAGGTGGCGATGGAGCGGATTCCTCCATATTCTCATGTTCACTTCCTGTGTCCTCAGAGCCCTTTACTGCTGCCACCTCCAGCTTAGGGAGGAAGGAAAGCCCTGTTCAAAGCCCCGGACACTTCCTCAGGGTAGTTTTTGGTTCAGGGAGGCCTTACCTCATGCCATCTTTCAGCCAAATTAAACCAAAAGGAGATCCCTTCCAGCGTGAGTGCCTGGGCCTTACTGTTCGGTTCTCAGCTGGTTCCCTTGCTAACTTTCTTGCTCTCTCCCTTTCCCCAGGTGTTGACTTTAAGATGAAGACCATAGAGGTTGATGGCATCAAGGTGCGGATACAGATTTGGTGAGTGGGCTGCTTCCTGGCTGCCACTGCCATATGTAAAGTCCTGAGGCTTCATCGGGGTTAACTGGCCACCTCTTCCATGGAGAGAAGCAGAATTCTCAAAGCCCCTCTCCTGCTCCTGTGAGCCTTAATCTCTGATCTTGCTTAAGAAACTTTATAGGATTGACCGCAAGTCACTAAAAGGCAGGAGTTAGAAAGAAGTGGCAAACTAACCACTGGGGGTTTGTCTTAGAATAAGGCTGTACCCTGAGCTGTGACACCCTGTGGTAGGATTGGAAGGAGGGAGGGCTCCACCCTGTCATTCAGGGTGAGTTCCTCAGTACAGCATGGTGCAGTTCCCGCACGTAGCCACAGGGGGCTGCTGTGGCTCTGTCCTGACGCTCTTGGAAGCTGTCTCCCGCCTTCAGATTGGCATGGGCGTTGCCTTCAGAGGCCCCATAGGCACTGGAGGTGGAGCAGTCCAACCAGTCTGGCCACAATGGCCAAATTCTAGAGAGAGTTGTCCAAGGCCCAGTTAGGGTTGTGACTCCTGGTGCAGACATAGCTGACGAGGCCCCGCAAGCCCTGTCTGCACCAGATGACCAGGGCTCCCTGCTGCAGAGTCAGATGTGTTTGGGTCCCCTTGGGGACCAAAGCTCCACTGATTTCTCACCCTGCTGCTCCCCAGTTTTTCCTGCAAGGGCACAGGGTCTCCAAGCTCCTGCTTCTCCCCTCCCCACCTGCTTCCATGGTCCCTGCTCTTCTGAGGGACTGGCTTTCTACTGCAGGGACACGGCGGGGCAGGAGAGATATCAGACCATCACAAAGCAGTACTATCGACGGGCCCAGGTGAGCTGCCATATTCCGGGTTTAGAGGTGGAATGCTGCCACCCACACTCCCGGCTCTGGGTGTTTGAGATATCTGTGCCTCTGACCCACAAAATAGGGCCCTCAGATTGCCTGCTGGGGAGGGGAGCCTCAGGGCAGTCTTTCAGTTATTCGTTGATCATTCATTCATCACTTAGTCTCTGACCACTAACTACAGGCAGGTCCCTCATCCTCACCCTCAACTTCCACCCTCCACCCTGGGCCAGAGACCTGGGTCAAAGTATTTGGTACCCTCCTACCTCAGAAAGTTCTGTGATGGACCTAGGAAGAAATAGCTCTGCGGGTCTGAGAGAGAAGGAGATGTTTCTGGGTGCTGAGAGATCCTCATTATGCTAAGAAGGGAGCAGGGAGAGTGGGACCCAGCAGTTAAGGTACCACATCTGCTTCTGGCCCCGTGACTATGCAGTGCCTCTGTGTGCATGTGACCCTCCCACCCCCCACCTCTCTCTCCTTCTCTCTCTCCTAGGGAATATTTTTAGTCTACGACATTAGCAGCGAGCGCTCCTACCAGCACATCATGAAGTGGGTCAGTGATGTGGATGAGGTAGGAGATGCTGCCTCACTGTCGGGGGTGGGAGAAGGGCACCTCAGAGGGGAAAGCAAAGAGAGGGCCAGATGGGAAGGGCTGAAGCTCTCGAGGTTGGCGAGCAAATGCTACCAGGAAACCTTGCTTCCACAGCCCCAGATGAAGCCCTCCAGGTGAGTAAGGCATCGGGAAGGAGCCCAAGCTGCCATGCCCTCCATGCCTTGCACCCTGCCAGGCCTCTCTGGCTGTTTCTTCTCTGAGACAAGTTAGGTCAGAGCCTACCCTGTCAGCAGCTTCCTTCCCCAACTCAGGACCAGGTGGAATTGTGAGACGAGGGTTCCAGTCCTGGCTCTGCCACAAAAGCTGTGGAGCCTTGGGCAAGCCCCTTAACCTCTCTGAGTCCCCAGTTTCTCATCTGTAGAATGAGGGGTTGGACTTCAGTCCAGTGTCCTTTCCAGACCAGATATCAGTTGTCCAACCCAAGGAAGCACCAGTATTAGCCAGAGTGTCTTCTACCCCAAGCTGTCCCCATGACACCCTTCTGAGACCCTGGTGTCAGCCATGGTACTTGGGGGAGCCTGACACCTGCACCCAGTCAGCCCACTCTGTCCCTAGGGCTCTTAAATTTGGTGCTAGTGTGGAGGCCAGTGTGGACTGTATGGTGGGGAGATGGGAGGGAAAGGCAGCACTCACTGGCAGTTCTGCCTGTCCTTTGTCCCTAGTATGCACCAGAAGGTGTCCAGAAGATCCTTATAGGGAATAAGGCAGATGAAGAGCAGAAACGGCAGGTGGGAAGAGAGCAAGGGCAGCAGGTAAGTGGGAGCGAGCTGGCCAACTCCATCCTTCGGGTCTTCCGCTGCCTTCCAGGACAAGTCCTGAGAGCTGGGACCCAGGACTCTGTCACTATCATCAGGCACCCTCGCACCTCCCACTGTAGCGTAAGGCACTGGGTGAGTTGCCATCCTTGAGAGTTTGCTTTCTGTCCTTCTGGACAGTGATTTGGGGTCCATCCTGAAACAAAGACCTCTTGGGCAGCAACTCTCCCAGCTCTCAGTTCCCCACGGCAGGACTACCTCTGCCGAAGAGCTCATCCTGGTGTTAGGATGAAGAAGGACTTGAAGTTGCTGACTTCCTCTCTAACAGCATCTAGGCACAGCTACCATCTTACAGTCCACCCCACTCCCTCCACGCCTGCTCCCTGTCCTCCTTATTCCTGGAAAGAAGTAGGAAGGGAAATGAGGGAGTGAAGAGCCCACCATCTGCAAAGCCATCGGGGCAGAGAGGGAATGTCCAAGCATACAGGGAGACTGTCCTCCCAGAGAACAGAAAGAAAGATGGAATCGGCTGTGACAAGAGCCGTCCACCCACTCCAAGGGCCTCAAGAGCTTTTTTCTCCCTCTTCAGTCAATAGCATTCCACTAGCACTTAAAGTTGATTTTTTTGGTATAAAAAAGTGATTATGGTCACTGAAAAATTTGAAAGTAGAAGCAAACTCTACTAGAATAATAGCATTTACTGAGCACCGTATGGGTGGCCTGGTGCTAAGCAAGTGCTTTGAGATGGATGAGCCCATCTACTCCTGCCACAACCTTGGCTGATAGACACTTTCATCCGCCTTCATCCAGATGATGAAGCTGGGGCTTAGAATCAGTAATTTGTCCAAGGTCTTGCAGCTGTGAAGTGGCAGTACTGGTATTCAAGTCTGGGGCTGTTTGACTCCAAAGCCCATGTTTTTCATTAATTTGCCGTATTGCCACAACATTTTGGTGTCTTTGTCTCCTGATATATGGTGGTGTGTGTGTGTAGGGGGTGGGGGAATGGAGGAGTGCATTTGCGGAGCATCTTCTACCATTCTCTGCTAGCCTGTGTCTTAGAAGCTCCCAGGCTCGTCTGAGAAGTTACCTATCTGAGACATTGTCACAGCACAGCATAGGCTGTGAGTGCAGTGGCATGAGTATGTGCCGGGTGCTCTGGGCACCTCCGTTCCCTTACTGACTCCCTTTCAGGAATGTTCTTCTCTTGCAGCTGGCTAAGGAGTATGGCATGGACTTCTATGAAACAAGTGCCTGCACCAACCTCAACATTAAAGAGGTGAGAGCTCTGGAGCCCAGTTGCCCAGCTTCTTTGGCTGAGTCCAGCAGAGTTGGGGAGGCAGGCGGGGAAGGCAGCAGACAGGAGGCGAGATGGGATGAGACGTGGCCCTCGGCAGTTACAGGATCGCTGAGGGAAGAGGAGGAGATGCTGGGCTAACCTGTGCCCCTTGCTTTCCCAGTCTTTCACGCGTCTGACAGAGCTGGTGCTGCAGGCCCATAGGAAGGAGCTGGATGGTCTCCGGACACGTGCCAGCAACGAGTTGGCACTGGCAGAGCTGGAGGAGGATGAGGGCAAACCTGAGGGCCCGGCGAACTCTTCGAAAACCTGCTGGTGCTGAGGTTCCTGCGTGGAGCACCCACACGATCCCCCCTCCCTCAGGAGGCCAGTGGGCAGACAGGGAGTCGGGGCTTGGCCCTGCCTCTCTTCTCATTTGGGTGACCCTGTGGAACATCAGTAGCTGCTACCCCCCCGCCTGGTCCTGAGAGCAGTGCTGTGTCATCTCCGAGCAGCCTCTGCCCCCAGCCCCTCTAGCCTGGAGTGGTGTCCTCCAGTCTGTTTCCCAGCCACAGGCCTGCTGTGAGCCCCAAATGTGCTACACGTGCTGTCTCACCACCCTAGCACCCCACACAGTGGCCCAGTCTGGAGACAAGGCCACTTTAAGGCTCCTTCTTTCTCAGTGCATCTTGTCTCCTCTCCGCTTTTTCTCTCTTCTTCCCACTTCTCTTTCTCTGTCCCCTTCCCCTCCAGTGTGTTTGTGTCCCAGCCCCTCATACCCCTTTCCCTATGTGTCCTGCTGTGTGGCTGCTAGTGCAGCCTCTCTTCCCTTTCTCCCTAACCCTGTCTAAGGGAATGGACTCAGGCTCATGGGGATGTTCCATACTCTGCTCTGGGGAGAAGGCCCCCTTGCTTTGTGGGTGGGCCAGAGGCTACGGGGTGCTTCTTCCTCTCCTCCCTCCCCCACCCCGTCTCTTCTTGTTCCATGGGCCTGCCTCCCCACTGATCTGGGAAAGTGGAACATCAAGGTAGGAATGAAACACCAAACTGGTGGTCCTCAAGCCAGGGCTGTCCTACCTCTCCCTGCCCGCCCCCCAGCTTGGGCCTTGCTTGGCTGCCTGCCCACCTGCCTCTTTTGGGGAACTGAGCTTGGAGGCAGGTACCTCAGAGAAGGAAAAAAAGTGATGAGGGGTGGCAGGGATAAAAATTCACCTCCATTCTCTACCTCCCATGCAGCGTGTACACAGTTTCTCCCCACCTGGGTTCCTGAACATAAGATGTGGACCAGGGCCTGAGGGCACTTCAAGGGCAAGGAGACCCCTGGGGCCAGAGGTACTGCCAAGCCAAGCATGCACTCCAAAAAGGAGAGCACTTGGAATGAAGGACTAGCTCCTATATATCAGGTGAAGAGAAGGGATTGCAGGCCAGGGATGGCAGTTTGCAAACCAGAGGGGAACATGGCAGCAGCAGGGCTTCCTGGGTTCCATCTTCCATTTCTTGTGGAAACCCCACACTCCCCTGGCCGGTGAGAGGTGACATAGCCACATTGGTGGTCTTTCATTGAACCTAGCCTTCAGCTCTCACAGTTTTCCTGAGACCCAAAGTTTGTGGAGAAGGGCAGGGCCTTCATGGGGAGAAAGAACGAAAGCCCCAGTAGAAATGCTTGGTGCTGTTCTCTTCAGCCTCCAGGACAACGTGCTCTTCTTGCCCCTCTAGCTCCTGAGGAGGAGGCTTGAGGGTGTGCCAATTGCACTGTGGCTGCAGGTGGAGGGAAGCGGCTCCCTCCCCCAGAGCTCTTTGTTCAGGAAGAAGTTTCTTTAACACCATGTGGCCCAAGAGTAGCTTGAAGGAGGCCTTTTAAGGAAGGAACAGGTCAGCTGCCAGCTCTCGTAGGGCTCCTCCCCACCGTCCCAAGATGGAGGAGCCTAGGTAGGAGGATCATTCTTAAACTACATATTAGCCATATCGCATGGCAGGGGCTGGAGCTAAAACAAAGAACTGGGCTCTGGACCAGAACCCAGGGCTCACACATGTGAAGGGTTAAGAGCCCCACTTCCTTGCTCCTCCAAAAAGGGGCTGGGGGGTGAAATCACCAAACCTTTCCTCCTGACTCTTCTCAAACCAGGAGAGAACAGGAGAGGGTAGCTCAGGATGTAGGAATTGGGGATAGGTTAGCGCAGTGGAAGGAAAAGGAGGGCAGGAGTAGTTAGGGTTAGGAGTAGTTGGCTAATGAGATATTTAGAGAGCGGACTTTAGGATGAAGTGATGACTAAGGCTGGAGATGCTGCCTTGACTGACTCCTCAGGTGTCAAGACATGCAGCATCACACTGGAGGGAGGTCGGTAATGCCAACCCTTGGTGTGCCCTCAGCCAGGGACTTGAGTCAGGGCAAGTTTTATTGGGCATTGGTGCCAACCTGTGGGTCAGTCTAGCAGCTTTCCCTGGAGATCAGGCGGCACCACTGCCTGCTCTCCTCGCCCCCTCAGGAAAAAGGGACTATATTTTTACTGTACCCTAGAAGTTCGGGAAAGGAAAACCTGGGGTCAGGATTCTATGGCCTGATCAGCCCCGTCCACCAGGGCCACAGCTGGGGAGAGAGATGGGAGCAGGAGGAGAGTTGGGATTTTGGGGAGCAGCTCCGCTCAGTAGGTATCAGAGTTGGCCTCTCACCCCTAAACTTCCCCTGTCCAGGAGGTGGCCTGGGATCTGGCATTCGGCCCAGACTGTTAAGCAGGCGCTCCTGCCTGTTTCCTCCTCGCCACCTCTGCGCCTGCTGTCTTGAGACTCAGCCCCAGGCACTCCACCCACTCCTGACCCCCCACCATCTCCCTGTGATGGGTGAACTTTGTGTACTGTGTCTTGGGTCCAGTAAATGAATTGTGAGCAGGGTTCATCTATTTTAAACACAGATGTTTACAAAATAAAGACTATTTCAAACCACAGGTGTGGCTGCCTGTATGAATCTCTGGGAGTAGGTCTCACTTGGACCCTAAGTTAAGGGGGACGGGGAGAGGCAGTGCCAGTAGAAGAGGCTCCAGAACCCTAAGGCAACAGCAGTAGGATGACAATGGAGGCAGCCAACTTCTTCCAGTTTGTACCATTCCTAATGCCACCTGTGGGGAGCCCCAAGCAAAGCCCCCATTGCTCTGCAGTGGGCTTACCCTGCAGAAATAAGATCGAGTAGAGTCATGGGAGGATGCTCAATGTCTATGTCTGAGGGAGTCTTTAAAGCCAAGAAGGTTCTCTGCCTGGGATGGAACAGGAACAGGTTCTTCCTGAAGACACGAGGAGGGATGAAGTAACCTTTCGGAAGTTCTTCCTAGCCCTGTGACTGGATACCTCAGGGGAGCAAGGCAGACTGGAATCTCGGGGGTCTGGGACTGTTGCATACTATACTTTGGGGAATGGAGTTGATGGAAGAGGCAGAGCATGTTTGGAGGTAAGGCTAGAACGAAGGGAGGAGTGAAACAAGGCAGGACAGTAGCCTAAGATCTCAACCTGCACTTTCCACTGTACAGTGCACTTGTAATACTTCATCTCCTCTAGCCTAACCATATCTGTGTGAGATAAGGAGGGTGATTATGCAAGTTCAATAGATAAGGAAATAGGTGCCTAACGGCCCCAAGTAACAGCAGAGTCATGGCTGGAAACCACTGAATTGGAATCTCGGAAGCCAAAGCTTTACCATCCCTATTTAGAAAACTGTATATGCAATTTTATTTTGCAGCCAGAGTTGAGAACCACCAACCTAGGCTTTCTGCCTACTAAGCCAGTGCAGTTTCCAGAACAACTACTGTCCCTGTGAAAAGCTGTGGGAACCACACACTTGTTAGTACATGTCCAAAGTTATAGCTTCTGGAAAGTGGACCAGTTTGAGGTAAAGTTGGAGACAGGTATTTTATTAAAGCCTCATCAATTTTATTCAATCTTGAAAGGTGACTACCTGGGTGACTCCAAGGGTCCTAGGTTGCACCTGGAGAGAAGGGATGGTTTGCACCTAAGAAAGAGGGAAGCCCACTCCTCAGCTCAGGAACTTCCATGGTCTCCTGGAGAGGGGTAGCCTCTCCCGCTGCCCACAGAGGCAGCCAATAGGAAGTCCAGAGAGCACCGGGGAAGCTCCAGCTATGCAGGTAAGTCTGGCAAGTTCATGGTACAGCTTAGCCCACTGTCAGGGCCAAGTTATTCTGACTCTGGCTTGGTAGAGTCACATTTATTGGCTGCTTCTAGGAACTCCATCCAGCCTCAGCAGGGGACACACTTCACACTGCATTTCCTGCCACCTCTTCTAGTGGCAAAAGATTCTATCCCCACTTAGGTGATGGAGGCTTGTTTTCAGAGAGCAGCCAGTTGAGACATATGGGATCCCATGTGCTATAAACAGCCATGGAACAGGCTGCAAAAGACAGAAAAGCTGGGCACTCCCTGGAGAGTAGTTCCTCCATCTTCTTAACAAATTAGATTATCAAGACCAGTTGCTCCCCAGCCTTGCTTATTTATTCTAGGAGACAGTTCCCAATGGACAGTACCTGTGAAAACACTCTCTAGTAAACATTTGCATTGCTATTGAAATTTCACCCTACAGTCCCAAAGCCAGGTAAAGCCTAATTGCCAGTTTTACTGATGGAGAAATCCAGGCATTTAAAAAAAAAAAGGGGATTTGTTGAGTTCGTGGGTGCTTGGAAGAATGAAGTGAAGCATGAGGTCTTTTTAGTTCTGTGGGCTTCCAGGGATGTGCTCCCATTGTAGCCCTTAGCAGGTCCCCAGATGTCCTGCGACACATTGCATGGCTCCTGTTGAAAACATCCCGAGTGGCCTCACTGGGTTTAGAACCATAGCAGCTTTGAGTCCCTGCACACTTCCTGCTGTGGGGAATGACCGGCACAACCCCCTCTGGAAAGTCTTTGGGACTGAGCCTTTGTCTGAGAGGAGGTAGGTGTGGGCCATCCCCTCTGAGCTTACCCACAGCTCTATGACTCCTCCTGACTGCACCCTTATGACGGTGTGGGGGCAGGTATGGGGTCTAGAGGAGGAGATGGTACAGTGCAGGGGCAAGGGCAGATGCGCTCTCCAGGACAAGTAACATCACTCACTTGAGGACTTTTCAAGAAAAACTTCATCCCTTCAGCCTGGTGCAAGCTGAGACACTGAAACCATTATTGCTAGAAAATCACACACTGTCCTCCTAATGGTTCCTTTGATTTTGTGCTTGTGGAAAGCAACAAAGAGAAAAATGAAAACAGTAATATGTGTATTTCAGTTGTAGACTGAGTCAAGGGACATGTGCCCCAATTCTCCCCCTCCGCTTTCAGATCTCAGCAGACCCGACCTCTCAATTGTACAGTGCAGAGCTTGGCACTCAGCAGGCACTCAATAAATGTCTGTGCCAAGTGAAAACAACTTGCTGAGGCAAGTAGGAGTCAATCCTGCATCTCTCCCTCCCTTTTTTCCTCCCTATTTGACCTTTGGGGCTCTGGTTTCCTGCAAGTAGTGAATTATTCACCTCTGTTCATAGCTATCAAATTGGCCCTTCCCAGGTTGCCAGGAGGGTGGGGCAGGGAGGTGGCTTTGTTCAGAGTCTGTAAATAGGAGCAGCAGCTTCCTTGTTCAAACAGCTTACAGGTGGGTGACCGTTTTTGCTAAGTCATCCTGGCGATGCTCAAAGCCTCATTGTGAGATCCTTCCTGTCCTTCCAGGCTCCTCCTTCCTTCCCACCCCTTTAATAGGCCCTCAGTGGGCTCACCCCACTCTGGCACTCACTCTGCACTTCCACCATGGCTTACATTGCTAAGTCCTTCTACGACCTTAGTGCTATCAGCCTGGATGGGGAGAAGATAGATTTCAATACATTCCGAGGCAGGGCGGTGCTGATTGAGAATGTGGCCTCGCTCTGAGGCACAACTACCCGGGACTTCACCCAGCTCAACGAGCTGCAGTGCCGCTTTCCCAGGCGCCTGGTGGTTCTCGGCTTCCCGTGCAACCAATTTGGACATCAGGTGAGGGATCCCTTGTATTGTACCCAAGGAATTGGGTCGCTGTAGCACTAGTAGGCTAAGGTCGGGAGTGGGAGAGTGACTGTGTGTTGGAGTGTCTGGAATCACAGGGTATGTTTTGTTAATCTAGGTCTTTAGGTAGATGTGAATACCAAGGAGAAGTATGCATGATTCTAACTGTGACTAAACACTGAGGGTGTGGGCTTTTATTGTTTATTGTCTTTCCGCTATACTCCATGACGGCTGGTACCAGGTCTGTTTTTCTCTCCCCTGTGTCCACAGTGCCTGGGGTATAGAAGGCGCTCATTAAATATTTGTTGAATCAATGAGTGGAAGAAATAGAAGATCAAGAATCAAACTAGGACTGAACTGACTCAGGAGACCTTAGTTCTAGCTAGACTTGGTTCTGCTGTTTAACGGCTCTGCGCCCCAGGAAGAGTCACTCAATTTTTCTGTTTGAGTGTCCTCATCTGTAAATTGGGGATAAAACTACTTATCTCATAGGATTATTGTGAGGTTCAGAGAATAAAATATACAAAAGCAACTTGAAAAATATAAAGTAATATGCAAATGCAAGCAACTTTATTATTTAGATTGAAGGATTTTGTTCATTTGTTTTAAATCAGCCAAGTGGAGAGTGAATCTGGGGGAAAGCTAAGGGTTTGCAACACGCATGTGTCTCTCCTGGGCATCACATGGACCTCTCTGTCTCTGACTGATGGGTCAGCTTGTTAAAGATCTTCAGCCCACACATCTCAAGTTATCTTTTAGGGATTCTTCTGTTTTCACTTATTATTTTAATAGCACAAGCAGGCAGAATGTCCTCAAGTGAACCCTCTAATTATAATCCCCTTAGTTCACTTCACAGTGGCATGAAGGCAAGGAAGAGATTAGCAGAGATATAAGCAGGAAGGCTGAAGTGGCATTAGCTGTGACAGACCTGAGCCCAAACCTTATTGCTCTCACTGTTCCCTCCCTGTCTCAGTCTGTTTCTTGGCTTGGTCAGGGCAGGAGAGAGAGAAAGAGGGAAACTTCTTTAGCGGTATCTTTCTGGCCCTGGCAGTCTTACACCATCATTTCAGGTTAGCTAGTTGCTGGAGGGAAACCATGACCTGCCAGTGGCCAGCCAGCCATTTGCATTAAGAGATAAGTCTAAAGGGCACATACATATGGTGATGGATAAAAACTAGACTATTGGTGGTGAGCACGATAAATTCTACACAGAAGCTGATAAGTAATAATGTCTACCTGAAATTACACAATGTTATAAACCAATTTGACCTCATTAAAAAAAAAAGAGACAGATAAGAAGTCTAACAGAGGTCAACTCTGGGCTCAAGATGTCATCATGGCCTGGAACTGACTATACTAATTGGTTCTAGTAGATCAGAGGCAGAAACTTTCTCCCGGAGGCAGATATCTGACTCTTAGACTAGGGGGAAGAAATGGAAAATAGGGTTTCCACGGGCCTTTTAGGGTTGTCAGGGTAGGGAATGCCAAGTGAGGATAGGACAAGGGTGGCAGCGGGAAGGGAAAGATAGGTAACGGGTTCAGAACTAAAGCATTCACAGCTGAGTAGAGTGAATGAGTATGCGGAGCCAGAGTCTTGGGATAGCAGTCCAGAAGTGAAAGGAATGATAATTACACATTCACAACCTTCAGCCTTCAAGCACTTATTTCCTTAACTTCCCCTTCCCCTGGCCTATTGCAGAACCCTAACCCCTCTACCCTATTTTATTCATTTCTGTTGGTCACTTAATGATTCCATTTAGAGTACATTCAGTGATATCTCTAACTTATTTTGCCTTTCTGGCATCTGAAAACCAGACTTCCTTGGATGGGGTCTTCCTTCATCAAAGCTTCCTTCTACCTGTGCTTCAAATCTAGGACAAGGCAAGATGAAAGCAAGAAGCTATAAATCCCATTCCTCTAGGCCTCAATTTCACCCTTAGTTTGAAGAACTGAGTAGGGCAGAGGCAAAGCTACACTCAATACTTACATGTAATTAGAAGCAACAGAGGCAAAACCAGGGCAGAGAGAAAAGGAAGGTGGTGGCAGGGGGTGTGAGTATGTGTGTGTTTAGGTGTGTAGGGAAGTAGAAGGAGGGTTCTAGGCAGTATGACCTGAGTCTCGTTAGCCCTTCTTTCTAGTGCCCCCAGTCAACGTTCCTTGAAGCTTCAGACAGATGCCCTAAGACTCGCTCAGGGTGGACTGGAGAGGGAAGCATCACCCCAAAAGTGCGAAATCTTTCATTATAAGAACCACCAAGCTAGGAATGGCAAGAACTTTCTGAAACGGCCTAGCAAACCATCAAACAATAGCCATGAGAGGGAAAACTCCAAGGCAAGAGTAAGACAATGCAAAGGAAAAAAGAGAAAGAAGAGAGGAAAAAAAAGTTACATAGAAAAGAATGATCCTAGGAAGGGAGTATAGGAGGGTGAGAAATTTGCATGTTGTGGACCTCTCATTGCCTCCTTCCCTTTTCCATGCTCTTTGTCTTTTTCCTCCCCCAGGAGAACTGTCAGAATGAGGAGATCCTGAACAGTCTCAAGTATGTCCGCCCTGGGGGTGGATTCCAGCCCACCTTTACCCTTGTCCAAAAGTGTGAAGTGAATGGTCAGAACCAGCATCCTGTCTTCGCCTACCTGAAGGACAAGCTCCCCTACCCTTATGATGACCCACTTTCCCTTATGACCGATCCCAAGTTCATCATTTGGAGCCCGGTGTGCCGCTCAGATGTGTCCTGGAACTTTGAGAAGTTCCTTATTGGGCCAGAGGGGGAGCCCTTCCGACGCTACAGCCGCACCTTCCCCACCATCAACATTGAGCCTGACATCAAGCGCCTCCTCAAAGTTGCCATATAGGCACAAGCTGCTCAGCACACAGATCTACTCCATCCATCCCTTGAGCATCTTTCCTTAGGATTTGGTGTGCCCTCAGGAGACACGGCTGACCTAAGCTGTCCCTTGGAATCAGTCTCCTTCATTGAAGAGCCTTGCCTCTCCAGTCTGCCTGTTTCCTTTCCATCCCCAAACCTTCAGGTTGGTGATTCAACTCCAGGCTCCAAGACTTCGGTAGGCTCTGGGCCTTCACAGAATGATGGCACCTTCCTAAACCTGTATGGACGGTGTCTGAAAAGCGTGAAGGGCCCCGAGTCAGCCTACCAGATGGGTCCAATAAAGGGCAGGTGTGGAAATGGCCAGGCTCTCTGTGTCTTCTTCTTTGACAGCCCATAGAGGGATGCTACAAAACTGCAGGTGGGACAATGGAGAAGGGAGCACACAAAGAGGGAGGCTCTGACCAAGGGGACACCCTAATTACTGTCTAGAAAGCAGGCCCTGGTCAAGGTAGCAGTGGCAGTGGCAGTTAGAGTTGTAGGAAACGGGAACTGTATTATTACTTTATGGCTCTTCTCCAGAACCGGGGAGAGGAGGTGCTAAGGAGCAGTAAAGAGGACTGACAGTAGGCCCTTTGGTTGAGAGTACTGAGAGGGTAGTTAGAGGATTCCAATCAAGAAGACGTCACTACCACTATGGACACTGGGCCAACTAATTATTACCTGCACCTCAAGAAATTCCTGGGTTGAGAATTCTGGGAGGTTGGTTAGATGATTCTAATCAGGAAGTGGGCACTGCGCCAACAAAACATTATCTGCACCCTGAGAAATTCCCGGGAAGTCAATCTGGTCAGCTTTCTCTAAGAGCAAGGGCGTGGAGGGTGCAGATGCTGGGAACACAAACAGCACTTTGTCCATTTCCTCATCACCTCGCTGAAGAATGTTTGTTTTTGATCCTTTGTTAGACTAACTCTCCTTCCTTCTTAAAGTTCACATTACAAGCTTGTCTTTCTCAAACTCACATATTCACAAACTTAGGCACAAGACAAACAAGTTTAGGCATGAATGGTTTGTTTCCTTTCTTCTTCCATAAGGGTGGGAACGCAAGAGGGCCTCCCTTCAGATAAACTGTTCACAACCTGCCATCGTGATAGTTGTTCTCTGTGAGAACAGAATTCTGCCGAATGGCTTTGTAAGGATGGTGCCCCAGATTCTTTGTTTGTACAGGCATACTCAAAAAGCACCACCACCACCAAGGCTAGGTTCTATCATGTTCTGGAAAAGATACCTGCTGAAAAGCCACTGTTCTGTCACTTTGCCCCACAAACCTCTTCCTGGAAACTTTTTATCTTTCCTTCTTTGACCACTAGATGGAATATTGTACTTCTCTTCATTGAAGCCCTGAAGGGGCAGTTCTCCAAACTGGACACACTGCTTGAGAAGCTGAATGCTGAAGGGGAAATGCTTTTCCTCTGTTGTTCCCATAACTATTTTCTAAGCAGATGTATCATCTGAGAACTAAGAGTGGAACAAAGGTTAAGGATCTCCACTGTCTGACCTTCAACTAAAGTCATCCATGGTGCTTTATTTCAAAAGGGTAACCTGAGTGTTATAGTGGGAATCCCCTGGCATCCTTCTGCACGGCCTTCTGCTAAATTCAGGCCGCCCTTAACTTGACTGATGAAAACTCAAGCCTTTCAAGATTCCCGCTCTTAATGTCAACAGTTGGGGTATGGGTTTTGGGGGCAGGATCCAGCACTGATTTTAGAGAAGTAACTGCAAAGACAAAATGCTTCCCCGAAGAAATGGAATTCAGAATTCATCTTGGATGCTAGTATGATTTATTCATCTTGATAGTGCTATTGCCTATAGCAGTCAGCTATCCTGGATGCTGGCGTTCTGCCACATGCAATCTAGAGCCTGATACGCCACTACAATGTGTTGCGTCTTTCCCATAAGGTTCTAGTTGAAAGAATTATTTAGACATTCCCAAAGGAGTGGGAATTACAGCATAAGTGATTTTGCAGAGAGAGACAGGAAGGGCCATAATGCTAGGAAGAGGGCTCCTCACTTGCAAGGGGAAATGCTATTTGCTTCAGAAGGGACCTGACCAGTTTGGCTCCGGAAGGCACAGAGAAGGCAAAACTAGGGGAACTTGTTTTACAAGGACATTTCGTTTTACTAAATCTTTAGTTGTGCTGTTGTTAGAAAGAAGAGAAATGAGAAATTATTTCCTTTCTTTTATTCCTCAGCTTGTTTGTTCCCCTTTTCATCCTCAGAAGTATCAGCTTATGGTCATAAACAGGCACAGCAAAGCTTAATATATCAGTACTTTCCTAGATCAACAAAATCTTTTAATCCAATTTCCCTACGGGCATTCAGGAAGCAGGGAGAAGTCTTATAAACAAGCTTTCCCAGAAGAGCTGAGATAATGCTATTCAATTTAGAGGAGAGACAACCACTTCTCTGAGGGATCCTACAAAAAAATACAGCCTGGAATAAGTGACTTTAGGGGGCCAAGATACGCAGAATGAAATTGATCATGATTTCCATGACTATTTCCCACAGCTGTTATCTCCTTAGTTAAGAAACACTGAGCCAAACTCTAATTGGTGATTTCAAACCTGATGATTTCTTATAATCACCATCACAACCATCATCCAGACCACCATATACTAGACTCACACACTGCGCTGAGTACTTTAATATATAATTAGGTTACTTAATCTTCATACCGACCCGTGAGAAATTTTTCTATTTAAAGAGAAGGTAACTGAGCAAGACACCTGCCCAGGACAAAGGGCTATGAGTAGCAGAGTTGAAAGCTAAACCCAGGTCAGTCTGACTCCAAAGCCTCTACTATTAGCCACAACAGCACTTCCTTCTATCTCAGAGTTCCTGCATTAAGACCGTGGACGGCTGCCCGTACACAGCACTGCACAACCTAAAAACAATTTCACGTTGCATCCTTTGATTTAAAAATTCTGAGGGGGCATGATTATTTCTATTTTTCCATTGAAGAACCTGAGGTACAGACAGAATAAGAGACTTGCCTAATAGTCCACCATGAGCAGGTGGCAAAGCTAATTTTAGGCCCAGGTCTCTTGATTTCCTTTCTACCCAATCATAGTGTATCTCACAATAGAGACTTGTACTACAGTCAAGAAACATACATTTTAAAACTGAGAGTCTCAAATTCTGTCAAGTAACTTAGCCTTAATCTCAAAACACAAGAATGAAACTGAAAGGATTCTTTTTTTTTTTTTGAGGAAGATTAGCCCTGAGCTAACTGCTGCCAATCCTCCTCTTTTTGTTGAGGAAGACTGGCCCTGAGCTAACATCCGTGCCCATCTTCTTCTACTTTATATGTGGGACGCCTACCACAGCATGGTGTGCCAAGCGGTGCCATGTCTGCACCCGGGATCCAAACCGGAGAACCCCGGGCCGCCGAGAAGCGGAACATGCGAACTTAACCGCTGTGCCACTGGGCTGGCCCCATGAAAGGATTCTTGATACACTGAGATAAAGAACAGTGAACATATACACTTAGTGATGACTTACAAGGAACAAAGCATATCTGGTTGTGCCCAGACTACATCATATGCCAATTAATTAGTATCAGGAGAACCCAAGACCATTTGAGAAAGACAGAGCTAGGGAAAACAACACAACAACAAACATGCTGAGCTTTGAACTCCAAAAGCCTCACTAGGCAAAGCCCAGATCTGTAAGTCATGGAGCAAGCAAAGAAAGAATGAGGTGTTGGAACAAGCCCATATTCTCAGTAACACCTACAGGTGATTTCTTTTCCTTCTTGAATCTCAGGAAGGGAAGAAGACAAATGCTTTTGCTTGGCTCCCCTTTATTTGAACAGAGAAATACAGATTCAGTAGAACTGGGTTGAAGAGATCTTTATTCTATTAGATCCACAGAAGAATTCCAGAAGATGATGAAGAAAGTATCATAAAACACTGCCCAACGTTGGTTTAATAATAATGAAATATATGGATAGGATCTTGTGTTTTAAATTTTTGTAGCATATAGTCCAAAACATAGAGAAAATTATACATTCTGCAGTAGATGAGGATATCAGACAAGGCATATAAAATCATACTCTTGAGCTCCAAATGACTAAGTTGGAAGCATTAGCAAACTCCAAGAAGAGACGATTCGGAGGCTATAATGGGCTTAGTGCTGCTATTTAAAGTAATGAAGCATTTTCTCTGCTCTCTGGATTCATTTCACCAAACGATTTCCTCAGCAGGTCAGATATAGATTTGCAAAAGTGGAAAACATTGTCCAGGAATAAAACCACTGATCTCTGAGGAGCAGCTGACTTAACTTTTCCAGATAACAAGTCTCGGTCTGACACGCCTGGATTCCTCAGAGTGCCGTCGCTGCTCTTCTCAACGGCATCCTAACCTCGCCAGACCCTTAAGCTTCATGTGTACTGGACACTGTTGTTGAGAGGGAGTTGCTGTACTAGCTGTGGGACCTTGAGTAAGTTACTTAACTTCTCTGTGCCTTTGTTTCCTTAGCTCTAAAGCTGGGATAACAATAGTACCTACCTAATGGGTCATTAGTGAGGATTAAGTAAGTGCTTAAAAAGCCTTGGCACACACAGTAAGTACTTAATAAACCTCAGCTATCATTATTCTTGTTATACAACCAAGCTTTCCCATGATATCAATAACGAACACTTTGCTCACTTTTTTTTCTTATAAGCAAAGCCTTCATTCAGAATGTCCAAGTTTCTTAGATATGAATAGGAAACATTTTGTTTCTAATGCCTGACCCTTTAAGTTTTGGTCTCAGAATGAGAAAAACTAACTGAAACCAGCTTATTGTATCTAGTACTTTACATGCTTCCAAAGCATTTACATTCATTATTGATGTGGACCTTCTAACGATACTGTGAAGGAAGTATAATATGAACTTTTACTAGCCCAGTTTTATAGAAAGGGGACAATAAAGTCCAGAGCAACACTTTGCTTAATGGTTATACTGCTACCAAATGGCACAGAGGCCTAACTGCCAGGGTTCACAACACCAAGCCAGTGTGCTTTCCACTATGCAAGGTAAGATATTCCAGATCTCTTTGGAGCAGCTGAAACCGTTGTCCTTATTTATATGAACTAAAGTCCACACTTCATTCAGATCTCCCTAGTTTTTACCAGACGTCCTTTTCCCGGTACAGGCTCCCCCTCAGGACACCACATTACATTACAGTCATGTCTCCTTAGGCTCTTTTTGGCTGTAGGAGCTTCTCAGGCTTGTCTTGGATGACCTTGACAGTTCTGAGGAGAACTGCTCAGGCATTTTCCTCAGTTGGGATTTGTGTGATGTTTTTCTCATCATTAGACCGG